AAAGCAATTTCATTTAGCTTATTTTTTCTTTATCTTCATTGTAAGCACAGTCCATTCTCTTGCTTTTGAAGTCAATTCTTACTGGTAAAGCAATGTTACAATGTTACATATTGTGCTAAGAGGGGTGGGGAGTTCTCTGGTGGCATAGTCCCTAAGGCATTTGACTGCTAACCAGAAGGCTGACAGTTCAAACCCACCAGCCACTCCTCGGAAGGAAGGTTGAGCAATCTACTTCCGTAGTGATACTACCTTGGAGACCCAAGGAGGAGTCAACAGCATTGAATTTGATTTTTTGGAACAACAACAAGTGTTTGTATGCACACATATTACAATCTCATTTAGTTCTCACATCAACCCAGAGTGGTAAGTAGTATAAGCCCTAATTTACAGATGAAGAAATTCAGAAGTATGTCACTTATCTAAGGTAACAAGTGCTAGAATCAGGGTTTTCCCTCAGGTCTCTATGAAGCCAAAGCTCATCATTCTTCCCTGTCTTAGCCATCTGGTACTGCTATAACAGAAATGCCACAGGTCAGTGGCTTTAGCAAACAGAAATTTATTCTTTCACAGTTAGGAGGCTAGAAGTCCAAATTCAGGACACTGGTTCTAGGAGGCTTTCTCTCTCTGAATTGGGGGACACAATTCAATCTATAGCATTCACTACTGTGCTTCTGAACATGAGGTGCCATTCGTCCATAAAGTGGGAAATATATAGGGTTGTGATATCAGGCTGTCCACATTAAAATTTTGGTTCTATTAGCTGGAAAATCTTGGACAATACTTACCATCTCTGAGCACATTATCATTTGTGAACTGCTAACAGTACCACCAAGAGCTCTGGTGGCTTAGTGCCTAAGGCACTTGACTGCTAACCAGAAGGCTGGCAGTTCAAAATCACCAGGCACTCCTCAGAAGGAAGATGGGGCAATCTATCTCCATAGTGATACTGCCTTGGAAACCCAAGGAGGGGCTGCTATGAGTCATGTCCAACTCCATGGTACATAACAACAACAACAGCAACAACACTTCCCTCACAAGATTGTTTTGAGGATTAAACAGCATAATGTATGCCAAGTGCAGTGTCTGGCATATGATAAGTACTTAATAAATGACTTAATTAAATCTTTAACTATAGTAATTAGAAGTGACAATTATAAACTATTCTTTAGAGTTTGTCCCTCAATGGTTCCCACCTTCATGAAGATTTCCCTGAACCCCCAACCTGGTTTGACTTCTCTCTCCATTATCTCCACTTCTGAATTCTCCAGTGTTAGTACTCCCACCCCACTGCTGTTGAGTCAGATCCGACTCATAGGGACCCCTTCTTGGGTTTCTGAGGCAGTATCACTATGGAAGCAGATTGCCCAACCTTCCTTCTGAGGAGTGGCTGGTGGGTTGAACCACCAGTCTTCTGGTTAGCAGTCAGATGCCTTATGCATTAAGCCAGCCACCAGACCTCCAATAATAGATAAAATAGAGAAAAGACACATGACTTGGAGAAAGAGATGAGTCCTGCAGGGGAGTAGAACTGATCGGCAAAGTGGTAACAAGTCAATGAAAACGTGGGGACATGGATGCCCCAAAAGATCAAGGTTTCCCATGGTCTAGATGTTCATCCTCAGTTGTGTGGTTGGCCTCAGACATGCTCATCTGGAAGGCTCACATCCTTGGTCAGTAAACCAACCTCCTCCCTGCCTTCAAATTGCTCATTGAGTTGAGGTTCTAGTTTTAGCACCAAGTTCAGTGATGTTGGCTTCTCAACTCCAGTCCATTAAAGTTGGAGCCAAGTTTTTGTCATACCTGGTCAGAGAATACCAGTAAACACCTATCTGAAAAATCTGATAGGAGATGGGTGATATGGGGTGAAAATCTGATAGAAAATGTGTGGTGATGGAAGTATAAAAGCAAAAAATACTGTGTTTTCTGTAGGAGATCCTGGGCAGAATGGGAGAACAATATAGGACAAAAGACAGGCATATGAGCTGAACATTTACATCAGGTAGATACACTCTTTGGAGAGATCAATCATGGGAGAATAGAAGAGCTGTGTATGCACAGGGAGGCAGCTCGGGGATCGGGAATGCAAGGGATGGAAGGACACAGGGAAGAGGTAACTATGGGGAAGAAGTGGGAAGAGAGATATTGCATTGTGGGAAATTACAGTCAATGTCATGAGACAAAGTGTATGTGAGCTGCTGTATGGAAAGTGAATTTGCTCTGTAAACTTTCACCTAAATCACAATAAAAACTTAAAAGAAAAAGAAAATGCCTTGTTTTCAAAGTAACATAGAAAGCCAACTCTTCCATCTCTCTGAAAAGCAGATATTATCATTCTGTAGAGAAGAAATTGAATCCCAAAAAGGCTGTTTCTGCTCCAAATCACTCAGGTGATAGGAATCGAGTCATGATTTAAACCAAAGACAAAAGATCTCTTAAAAATATACCTCAAGGGTGACTAAAGACCATAGTCTCAGGTGTTCCACAAGTCTGTATCAGACCAGTAAGCCTTGTCTTTTTTGTGATTTTGAGTTCTGTTCCACATTTTTCTCCCACTCTATCCAGGGAAAGATCCCTTTCAGAGGTGTCAGCAGTGGTAGCCAGGCACCATCTAGGTCTTCTGACCTCAGGCTGTGATTCAGTTCATGTGGTTCTTTAGTCCTTTGGACTAACCTTTCCATACTTCTTTGATTTTCTTCACTCTGCTTTGCTTCAGGCCTGGAACTGAACTCATCTTTATGGCTCAACTTTCAGCCAAATAACAGAAAGGTTTATAATGTGAACAATAACATCAAGGAGGTACGTTGGTACTCCTTAGAACAATCAACCGTTTGAGATAAAAAGGGAAGCATTTGCCCAGGGATAAAGTTCAGAAGGTAGGAAGGGGTAGGAAAAAAGGAGTGAAAACAGGAAATACAGGGAGGAAGTGGGATGAGTGATGTTACATTGTGGAGATTTCAATCAATGGCATGAAACAAAATGTGTATGGATTGTTGAATGAGAAACTGATGTGCTCTGTAAACCTTCACCCAAATCACAATAAAAAGTTGAAAAATACATAGATGAACTTGGAGGACATTATGCTGAGTTAAATAAGTCAATCACAGAAAGACAAATGTAGTATTAGTTCATTATTGTAAAAAGTCAGGGAAAGGTTTATATATGGAAGGAAATTTTCTTTGTTGGTTACCAGAGGTGGGAGGGAAGAGGAGGGAACACTGCAAAAAAAAAAAGCACTGGCCCATGTTACTTTAGTTTTGTGTATTTTACTGTACATAAATTATATTTCAATAAAATGTATTTTTTTAAGAAAAAGTTGAAAAATAATTACATCTCAATGTTTTAGAGTAGTATCTCTAGGTAGTGGGATTATGGATGATTTTAACTTTCTTATTTTCCAAATTTTTTCTTTTTGAAAAAATTCTCTAGTTTTCTTTTGTATAGTCCAGGCAGGTGGGGACATAAATAATGTTATTTAAACTATATCAGGGTCCAGGCTGAGGAACGGGAACAAAATCTAGAAGCAGTAAGGAGAGTTGTCTACAGAAACCAGGAAATCAGCATCTCTCTGTTATCCCCAAAACTGGAGAAACTGGAAGTACAGTTCAGTCTGAGGTGGGGGAGGAAGGAGTGAACCAGCCCAGGCACAGGGGAGCCCAACCCAACAGCAGCCTGGAAAGAAAACACCTACTTATGGTTGGTCAGAAAAATAGAGACTTGATCCAGTAACAACTCAAACTCTGGGACTTGAAAAAATGCAAAATGGGAAGGTCCCCAAAGAAGGTTTATACTCTCTCTGGGCCAGGCTTTGTAACTACACTTTTCACCTGTGTATTCTTAACCCTTATAATAGAGCCTCCTACGCTTCGGAAACCCAAGGAGGGGTTGCTATGAGTCAGGTCTGAATCCAAGGCACATAACAACAACAACAACCCACTGAAATTTGTGCTGCAGTCAAGACCCTTGATGCAAGATTATGGGAACCAGGTATGGGAAAGAAAAGAAAGGCACTGGTAGCATAGTGCCTAAGGCACTTGACTGCTAACCAGAAGGCTGGCGGTTCAAACCCACCAGCCACTCCTCGGAAGGAAGATGGGGCAATCTACTTCCGTAGTGATACTGCCTCGGAAACCCAAGGAGGGGTCGCTATGAGTCAGGTCCGACTCGATGGCACATAACAACAACAAGAGAACAATGACCTAAATCCATGTGGTAAAGGCTGGGATGGCTGAAGCCCCTCACTCTGTCACCAGTACCTTTATGTGAGAGGGCAGTCATGGTATCAGAGATGTAAGTTAAGAGAGAGTCCTGGGAAATTCAGCAGGATAGAGAGGGTGATGTGAGATTCAAACTCATACCCATAATGACTTCTGCTCCTGAAGCACTTTCAAACTTCAAGCAGATAGTATTCAAAGAAAACTTTATTTGTCTAAATACATTTTGGCTATGTAGGATTCCATAGCTGGAAGACACGCAAGTACGCACTTAAGGAGCTGGGTGGGAGGGGTCTGTAGATTCACACCAGAGCTTCTTCTTCCAGGGCCCATACTAAGTAACCATTGCTTCAATTTTAAAAATCTCACAGAGCATTGACATTCAATAAACATGTGCTTATTTAATAAAAATGAACAAATAAATCCCCTAGCCACTCTTCTAGAATTTAGAGGATCTGTTTACTCTAGTCAGGTTATAAATACAATCTTGTGAATTAAAAAAAAAAAAAAAAAAAAACTCATTCAAGTATAAAAATAAATAAGTTAAATAACAAAAAATAAATATAGCAAATTAATAAATATACTCAACAGTAGAAAAGATAGTATAAAAATATTGTAAAACCACTGTCTAAAGTAAGATTGGGAATGTATGAAGACAACCACAGTAAGGATCAAAATAATAAATAAATAATATGCATGATGACCAACACTAAATTGTATCGCAAAGAGATGAGGGTTCTTGGTCATGTCTCAGTGAGTACTAAAGACTGGGACTCTCGCCAAGAGGACTCTCAGCAGGAGTGTCCATTTCCTTCTATTTTGTCTCCTCCAACCATTGTAGAAGAATTTCGAGCTCCCCCAAGGCCTTCACCACTGCTGCCTGAGGTTCAAGCTGAAAGAGACACACATCCATGTGGTTAGTAACTCACATAGCGACATTTACTTTGAGATTAATTCTCTCCTCTGATTGGTAGGTTTGTGGGCCTTATAAACAGTGCATTTTGGGTCTTGACATGCTACAGAGCTTGAAAACGGTTATTGAACATTAAGATCTCACATGAAGAAGGAAGGTCAGTGAGTCAATCACCCTGGTCATACATAGGGAAATTGAGGCTCAAGGGGTAGCAGAATTGGGACTACAACCCCAGCCTCTTAACCCAAAAGGATCAAAATAATTAGGCTGTTTCTTTAGCAAAGATGTGTGTGTGTGTGTGTGTGTGTGTGTGTGTAAGAGGTACCTACTGTACATACTTCAATTGAACAAATATTTCTTGTCCCAAGCATTGAGATGGTGGTTGGGGACTCAGATATCTCAGATATCTTCTTACAAGGAACTCAGAGTCAATGAGGGAGACTGGCAAAAGCAGGCCGTTAGAATGAATAATGGAGTCCTTATGGGATATCATGGGAATGTGTCTAACTCTGAGGGAAGCAGCCAGCACCTTGCTGGAGGTGATTCCTAGGCTGAGTCTTTTAGGATGAGTAAGAGTTAGTCAGTGAGGGCTGAGCTCCAGATTTTCCTGGTAGATGTGCAAAAGCATAGGAGATGAGAAACAGCATAGCACAGGCATTTGTGATTTTGGAAGTGTTTTTGAGGGTGTGTGGTGATGTGTCAATGCTGGGAAACTGTTGTCTCTAGTTTGTGCTGCTGGAAGATCCAGAAGTCTCTGGAGTGACTTGATGGAACCATGGCCATTCCCTTTCACTTCCAAGAGCATCATCCATTGCAAGCACCCTCCTAGAGCCTGGGATAGTATCCTCTGAGTTAGAAGTAGGGGGATGATCTATATGACCCCAAAGAGCTATTAACCTGAGAGCTATAAAATTTCCACCAGTGTGAACATCCGTCCCTTCCATGAGTTCAGTTCTAAAAACACACCCATCCCAACCAATGCCAAAATTGCAGATACCTCTTCAAATTGACTCAGAATCTGGCTGTATTTCTCTGTTGCTTCTTCCCCACAATGGCATGTCCTGTGCTCATGCTGAAAAGGACCCAGAGAATGATAGATTTTATTAAACATCCTGATTTTCTGCCCTTGCCATTGACTTGAAGTAGGTGGGAAATCTACACTTTCATCCACATCCCATTTCTATAGAAAATCTTTTCAGATCTCATATATGGAATCATTAAGTTAATCACCAGCTTGAACAAGAAACTGTCCATTTGGCTCAAATATGGTGCTCATATTTCTTTCCTTATAGAAACAAGCGGCACTGGAGGAGTTTGAGATATTTTTTCTCTCACTGGACCACACCTGGTCTCTGCATCATTACCCCAGATCTAATCTGAGCTCCAATGGAAAGAGAGAATTAGATCCCTGGGTCCTACTAATATTCTATTCTAAGATTGAGTTGAATGGCCTGCTGATTGCCTACACTGGACATAAGATGCACTAGTGCACAGTGAAATATCTCACCTACAGAAAAAGTGTAACTTTTAGGATGATAGATAGTTATTGTGAATATCAAATAGCTAAAAATCATAAAGTTCTCTTTTGCATACAGCACATACCCAAAAGTCAATACAACTGAGTTCTTATTACACTGTTACATGGTTAGGCACAAATCATTGGGACTTTTGGATTTAGTTTTTCCATCCGTTAAATGCAGGTAGGAAAGGAAGCATGATTCTTAAACTATGGAGCTAAATGCTACAATGGATCTTTTATCCAAGACCCTTCCTTACACAGAGCCGGAGGTCCTTCTTGATGGTAAGAAAGGAGTTGGCGAGACTGCTGATCTTTCGGAGCATGTGATGGTCAGAAGTCTGGTAGTTTTTGAATACTCTGTCCAGATAGAGTCTCAGTAAATGGCGGAGGAGGCAGCACTGATCTGAAGGCTAAAAAGAAAACAAGTGTTAGAAGGGAGCAAGGACTAGACCCAGTGTGATAGAGATGCCCAGCTTCATACTCCCTCCCAGAGTTCAACTGGTCCAAGCACATACCTTTGTGTGTTGTAAAGACACAAATCTCCTGAGGATTCTGGTGTCAATGTTTCCATCTTCAGCTTGCTGAACAGAAGAAAGCAAGACAAGAAAAGACAGATTAGCAACTGCTGCCCGGATCTTAGACATCAAGTATTTGGTCCCCTTATTCTCTCCCTGCCTAGGCCCAGTGAGAGGCATCCCTTTCCAAAAACACTTTTAAATTGTAAACTACAGATATTTCTTGGGAACACATCCTTCTAATGAGGAATGTCTTGTCTTTTTGTGGTCACGCTATCAGGGCTGCCAAGAAAGCAAGACAGAGAAGTAGAGAAGAGGAGAGGCAGCTACAAGATGAAGTGGGTGCCTTTACATACCACACTGTCCCGTATCTCAGAAAACTCATTTCTTATTTCCTGAAGGTTTGTGGAGATCACACAGCTTCCCAAATGGAGTGTCTTCCGCCCAACAGAAGGTGTCCAGAAGAGACAAAACACAGCAAAGAGGAGGCAGAGGACAAGACCAGAGCTTTTCATCTTGTGCCTGGAATCTGGTGACCACAGGGGCTAGGAATTCAAAGGAAAAAAAGCATTACTTACTGATTTCTCCCTTTTGTACCCAAAGAAGCCATTGAGTCATAAGAGACATGTCTTTCCCAGGTGTCCGTTAACTGAAACTTAATAGTCTTATCTGCTTCCAAACAGTATGGCCCCAGTCATGCAACTTACTAAGAAAAACAGCTGAGCCTCCTGTGAGAAAAGCGTTCAGGTACTCGTTCAAGGTCTAAGTGTAAATCGGTGGCACAAGGTCCCAGCTCCTTTATGCTACTCGTCATTGCCCAGTAGGTAGGGCCTGGAGCAGCAGGCATTTGTAGTGAGTAAGTAGATAGAGGACGGCATTTCAGGGAAAATGTCAAAACTTGTTTTAGGGAATTGACGTATACATCTTTCCCTTCCAGAATGCCAATGTAGCTCACCTTTCTGGCCCCCTTAGTCCCGTGAGGCAACTGGAGAAAAACAGACTCTCACCAGAAGTTGTGTCTGCACCACCAAAAACACTTGGAAAGAATTGTCTGGGTTTATGACCACCCTCAGGGGCTGAGGAGCTTTAACTCTGTTGACAATTGTCTAAGATCAGATTGGTTATTTGGGGATAATGGGTTGATTTCAGCCCTGAAGGCAAACAGAAACTCAATGATTTCATAACCATCCTGCTGCCAGAGAAAGGCAAAGCCCAATGGGCATCCAGCCCAATTCCACCTAGCACTTCTCTCTCATGAGGCATCTTGGACTCCACAGCACTCTCTGTGGTGTAGTCAGGCACTCCAGGGCAAATCTAACAGTGTGCTCTTTCCTGGCCCTGCTCAGGCCAGAGACAAGTGAGTGATTCCCAAAGACAGAGAAGAAAAGCAATGAGAGAACTCATTTCTTCTTGGGGTGAGGCTGCTCAGGAAGAGGACAGTTATAGTGTCTGCTGAATTTTAAAATAAAAATAATAATAGACTAGGATTAGAAAACAAACATGGTCATCACATTGATTCCAACTCATAGCGGCCCTATAGGACAAGGTAGAACTGCTTCATAGAGTTCAAGGCCGTAAATCTTTATGGAAGCAGACCACCTCATCTTTCTCTTGCAGAGGTAGGTTCCAACTGCCAAGCTTTTGGTTAGCAGCCGAATGCTTTAACCACTGAGCTCCTTAGCCTAGGACTGGGTGAGACAAATGAGTCACTCAACTCAGGCACATAGTTTAAGAAGCCATCAAAAAAATTGAATCATCAAGATAAATAGTATTTTAAGAAATGTCAAAACTAATTTAAAAAGCAAGAGTGAACAGAATTTCAAAATTTTAAATAAAGACAATGTCATTAGGAGCCATATTGAAACTCAAGACAAAAAGAATAGTGTGCATGCTATACATACACTTTTATGCATTTTAATTGTTCATTTTTCCAGAGGTATATTATGAAAATATATTGATGAGTTTGTTTTCCTTAAAGCTAAAAAAAAAAAAAAAAAAAAAGAAACACTCACTGCTGTCGAGTCGTTCCCAACTCATAGCGACCCCTCCTTGGGTTTCTGGCGATATCACTATGGAAGTAGATTGCTCAATCTTCCTTCCGAGGAGTGGCTGGTGGGTTTGAACCACCAGCCTTCTGGTTAGCAGTCAAATGTCTTAAATAATTATAAATAAAATTTAAAATAATTTTGTGAGTTATAATACATGTACTTTTCTATGTTTCAGTATTTTGTCAACTACTTTAAAGTTCTCAGAAGAAAATAACATACATATAGCATAACATGTAGAGCTCTGGTGGCATAATGGGTAAGGCATTTGGCTGCTAAACAGGTCAGCAGTTCAAACCCACTAGCTGCTCTGTGGAAGGAAGATGGACAATTTACTTCCATAAAGATTCACAGCCTCAGAAACCCATTGGGGGGTCACTATGAATAGGAATCCACTTGATGGCAGTAAGTATGGCTTTTGGTTATAGCATAATATTAAATAACAGTATGAAAACATTTATGTAGGGGCACACATCTTTCCTTTTGCCCCAGATTCCGACATGGCAAGATACAGCACTGATAATCATCACCATTTACTGAAACATTCCTATGTGCCAGACAATATGCTAGACACATATATACATATACATATATACATATATTGAGTTGAATCCACCTCATAGTGACCCCTCTTTGGGTTTCTGAGGTGGTATCATTATGGAAGTAGATTGGCCAGTCTTCCTTCTGAGAAGTAGGTGGTGGCTTTGAATGGCCAGCCTTCTGGTTAGCAGTCATATACCTTAGGCACTACACCACCAGAGCTCCCATATATAGATACATCCATATCTATATATCTATATCTATATATCTCCATCTGAAATGCCACCAAATGCCAAATGTAGGAAAAGGGAATAAACAAATGAAATTCAGCAATATCAGAGAGAATTTCAAGTTTGGAGGCAAGAGAACAATGTCATGTCCAAATCCCTGCTTTACCATTTCCCATCTATTGAAGGTGACCAAGCATCATGGTTTTTCCAAGGCAGAAGGGGTTCCTAGTGAAACAGGACTTTCCATTTTAAAATGCAGAAGCCAAGGTGAGTCAATTGGTTGCCCCACCTCTATGTGACCTTGGGCAAGTGAATGTACCTCTCTGAGTTTTGTTTCTTTAGACCAAAAATGACACTAAATCTCTTGTCTAATGTTTATTTTGACATTCAAATAGAATGATGTATGATATAAACACCTAGCAAATAATGAGTGTTCAGTACATGTTAAATAGTGATTGATGCAAGCTGCCTTGAACATTTCTTGAGCACTCACTGCCCTGAATATTGTATTAGGTACTGGAGTACAAAGATAAACATGATAATTCCTGTCCCCCAAGAGATTTTGTTCTAATGGAAAGGGTTCCTTTAGGTGTGTTCAGCTGAATAAATTGGTTGGGAGAACTGGGCTGATGCCCAGAAATGTGGGAACAGCATATAGAGAAAAGCTCTCTTACCTGAGCTCAGAAAGTGTTGCTGCTTCTGGTCTCCTGGGAGCCTGTCTCAAACTGAGAGGCTTCCAATTATTTATATACATGTAACATGAAGGAAGTGAGCAATGGTAGCTGAGGGCTGGAACTCCCTTGGAATTTCTCTGGTGGCATTGTACTTCCTCACATCCTGAGGCAGTTTAATTGCAGGTTGGATTACCCCAATACCTCCTTCCCCCAAGAAGCACTGCTCAAAGGAATCACTGATTATAACTGTGAATAAATGATGTGCTTCTTCTCATTCCACCTCCCTGCTTGGTAAAATGAGAGTTAAAACAGAAGTGATTACTGAACTACAAGGCTACAAAAGAATTTTAGGAGGTGTTTTTGCTAGCTCCTGCAAACCCAGCTCTCTCTCTCACACAAACACATATATACATATATGTATATAATACATATAATGTATATATACTAACACATACATGAAACACATTTTTTTAATTATCATAAAAATTTCACTAAGAATATAAGCTTCTTGGGAGCAGGAATTTTGTCAATCTTGTCTACCCTTATATTACAAACACCTGTAATAGAACCTCATTCCTAGTAAGCTCTTAATAAATATGTGTTGTATGAATTATCATCTCTTGAGATAGGTCTTAAAATCCATTTTTCAGATGAAGATACTGAAGCTTAGGAGGTTGGCTGATTAGGCCAAGGTCACCCAGCTGATGAGTGACAGAGTTTACTCAAGAAATAATATCTCTTTCTACTGTTATTGCTGATGTGAGAATGCTGAGACCCAAAGAAGCTACATGAAGACGTAAGATAACAGTTAGTGGCAGAATGGGGACTTTAACATAGATCTCCTAATTTGGAATTCAATACTCATTGCATTAACTATGTGTCCTTGAGGGAAAAAGGGCACTGGAAGAGTGATGGAGATAGGGGTGGGGATGCAAGGGAACAGGATGACAGTTCTGCCCTAAGTACAAAGAAGAGATTCAACCAGAGAACAGACTGCCCAGCTCTCCTGCCTGAGAACCTGCCCAAAATAATCAAAAAGCTGAATTTACACTGACAGAAAATGTCTCTCTCCCACTAACACATCCCAGGAATTCTGAATTATTGGGATCATTCCATCCTATCGGAGTGACCAATAGTTACAGAATTTGTGAAGGAAATAATGAGTCACTGCAAACCATCGTGAAATCAGAAGGCTTTCAGATTTCCCAATACTATAAGAAAATTCACTTTTTTAAAAAATCTGAACATTAATTTAAATCATATTATGTGTAAGAACATGTTGATTCAGCATTGCAAATAATTGCCAAGAATGATTGCAAATTATTGCTACACTTATGTAATTTCACCACCACCCCCAGGACAAAAGTGAAATATGGTTTTATCATGAGTCTCTGCCATTTGAGCCCCTTTCAAGATCCCAGCTCCTCAAGAGAAGATACTGACTGAAATGCATATGCTCCATGATTTAGCTTGTGAGGGGGCAAGAAGGGCTCCCCTGCCACAAATATCTTTCCTATAAAGCCTGGAGCATCCATGGATCTTCTGGGCTATTTTATCCCAATGTCAAGAATTTGTTTATTTAGTGACAGATTGGAGTCACTGGGTGGAACAAAGGGTTAAGTGCTCAGCTGCTAATGAAAAGGTTGGTGGTTTGAATCTGCCCAGAAGCACCTTGGAAGAAGGGCCTGGTGATCTACTTCTCAATGTCTAAAAGCAAACAAACAAACCCACTGTCATCAAGTCAATTCTGACTCATAGTGACCCCCACTGGGTTTCCACTTTACTGGCAGTAAATCTTTACAGAAGTAGATTGCCTCATCTTCTTTCCACAGAGCGGCTGGTGTGTTTGAACCACCAACCTTCTGATTAGCAGTCAAATGCCTTAGGCACTGCATCACCAGAGCTCCTTCTTCTAAACATCAGCCCTTGAAAACCCTGAGGAATGCAGTTCTACTCTGGCACACACAAGGTTGCCACAAATCAGGGCCAACTCACCAGCAGCTAACAACAAACAACCCCAATGATAAATTATCACTCCTAAACTGTTAGAGCTGGGAGGAACTTCAACTA